GAGGAAGTTTGCAGAGAGGCCACATGGGCCTCGCCATCACCCTTCATCTGCCACTATAAAATCGATAAATTTTCCTCTGCAGAGGCCTCCTTCAGTGGGAGGGTTTTTCAGTAGGTGGTACACCAAAGTAACACACGGGACCAGTCTACTTCCCACCCTCAGGGACAGTAGGCTTTGGTATGTCCCATTGGTGGATTCTCCATCTCCAGTGCTGGAGAAGGGGCGTTTTCTTACCTTAACGCCTTTTCTCAGCACAGAGATGGAGAATCCACTTCCACCCTCGTAGGTCATATAGGCCTAGGATTAGTTAATTGGTGAGCCACAACGTCTTGCTGTCAGTCAATTGGCTTCGCTTGCGTCAAGACTGGGATCTCGTGGTCCAGGACGAGCGTGGCAATTTTGGCTGACTGATCTGATTGGGCAGGAATACAGTCTCAAACCATTGGTGGATTCCCCATCTCCGTGCTGAGAAAAGGCGTTCAGGTAAGACAATGCCCCATCTCAACAAACCGTTTGCTCCACTTGGGCGCAATAATAGATACCAACTGGTGCAAGGTTTTCCTGTCTCAGGAGCATCAGGTCAGCATATGCACCATGATCACCATGGTGCGCAAGGAAAAACCTGTACTTCTGCTATCACAGCTGCTAGGGAAAGTGATCTCATGTATTGCCATAGTGCCTTGGACCAGGCTTCACACGAGACAACTACAGTGGTTCCTATTCCCCTACCAGAAACGAGGGGTAGCCTTCTTTCCACAGAGGGTGCGAGTCCCAGCACAGACACTCATGTCCCTTATCTGGTGGATATCCCCGGCGTTGTCCAAGGGGTCCCTGTTCCGAGAACCGACTCGAGTAACCTTAACCACAGATGCCAGTCTGTTTGGATGGGAGGCACATTTACATCTTCAATTCGCCCAGGGACGGTGGTCTCAACAGGATCTCAAGAAAAGCATAAATTGGTTAGAACTCAGAGCCATACACCTGGCACTTCACCATTTCCACAGGAAGGTGGCAGGCCGCCACGTGCTGGTTCTGACGGACAACGTGGCGGCAAAGGCCCATGTCAACAGACAGGGTGGCACTCGATCTCGGACCTTAATGTCCGAAGCCCAGCGTCTGAGGTCATGGGCAGAACAGAATCTGTTTTCACTAAAAGCAGAACACATATCAGGGGTGGAGAACCGCCAGGCAGATTTCCTGAGTCGATCTACGATAGATCATTTGGAGTGGCGTCTTTTCCGAGAGATTATTCACCGTTTTGGTCCACCCAGCGTCGACCTGTTTGCATCCCGGTGAATGCCCACCTTCCCCGCTTTCTATCCCGGTACCCATCTCAGGGTTCGGAGGGAGCAGACGCCCTCCGCAGTCCATGGCCGGCAGGCCTCCTATATTTATTCCCGCCTCTTCCTTTGATTCTGGCCGTCATCCGGAAGCTGTTACAAGAACGAGTGGAGCTAATCTTTGTGGTCCCGTATTGGCTGAGGCGTCCATGGTTCACAGATCTTGTGAACCTCGCCGTAGTTCCCCCTTGGCATATACCTCCAGAGAGAATAATTCTAACGCAAGGGGCCATACGGCACCCGTATCTGCAGTGGCTTCAACTAGCTGTCTGGCATCTGAACGCCAGTTCCTGATGCGCAGATCTTACTCTTCAAGAGTGTTATCTATGATCCAAGCTTCTAGACCGCCGGCGACAAACCGGATTTATGATGCCACTTGGAAGAACTTCGTTGACTGGTGTACCCGTAAGGGTTTGTCTTATTTCTTCCATCACTATTCCAGTGATTCTTGAATACCTCATGGATGGAGTGGATAAGGGTTTAGCACCCAACACCCTCCGTAGGCAGGTGGCTGCTCTTTCTACGGTGCTTACCTGTGCCAACTCCATTCCATTGTCCCATCATCCCAGGAGTTCCCAACACCAGACCTCCGGTAGTACACAGGTATCCATCTTGGGAACTACCTCGAGTTCTACAGGCACTCACAAGATCTCCCTTTGAACCTATCAGGTCTTGTCCTCTTCGTATTTTGTCACATAAACTGGCCTTCCTAGTGGCCATTATGTCGGCGAGACGCGTATCAGAGCTGGCTACTCTTTCAGTCAGGGAAGACCTATGTACATTCCATCAGGATAGAGTGATGCTTAGGTTAGATTCCTCGTTCATTCCCAAGGTGAATTCACTGTTTTACTGCACTCAGGAAATTGTACTATTGAACTTTTGTCCCAATCCTTCTCACACACTAGAGAAGCAGTGGCATTCCCTAGACGTACGCAGGGCACTGCGTCAGTATAATAACAGAACAGCTCCTTTTCGCAAATCGGAGGCATTATTTGTATCTTTCCACGCAGTTTCCAAGGGACAGAAGGTTTCATCCTCCACTATAGCCAGGTGGATTAAGGCCTGTATCGCTCAGTCTTACCAGGCTTACTCTTTGCCTGTCCCTAGTCACCTGACAGCACATTCTACTCAAAGCGCTTCCACTTCAGCGGCGTGGCAAACTCAGGCATCCATTGAGGACATTTGTAAGATTTGGCTATGTGGTCATCCCCTTCACCATTCATTCGCCACTACAAGCTCGATAAGTTTGCTTTCGCAGAGGCTGCCTTTGGCCGTCGGGTTTTACAACAAGTGGTCCATTTCCGTCCAACACTTAACCAACCTGCTTCCCACCCGTGGGATCATAGGGGCTTTGGTATGTCCCATTCGTGGATTCTACATTCCTCTACATGCTGGAGAAGGGGTGTTGTCTTACCTGAACACCTTTTCTCAGCATGAGGAATGTAGAATCCACTCCCTCCCTGACTATTATTTGTAGTTAGGTTAGTGTCAGCAATTCGGGAGCCATCACGTCTCACAATCATTAGCTTCACCCTTTTTGAAACTGGGGCATGCTCAGACCCTGCGGGGGCGTGGCAAATTTGATTGTTTGGTCTGAAGACTGAAACAACCCATTCGTGGATTCTACATTCCTCATGCTGAGAAAAGGTGTTCAGGTAAGATAACGCCCCTTTTGTGCTATTTCAGATTGCAGGACATAGAATAGATTTAAGTTATAGAATGGCAGATCCTGATGAAATCTTAGGGTGAAAAAGACTTTCTAACTGTGAAAAGAGTTTGACAATGGACACAATTACCCAGAAACACGTTGGACTCCTGTTCACTGAATGTATTTGTGTGAGGCTAAACAGCCATTTATCATGGATGATTTACTTTGGATTCCTTCAGTCAGCCGGGAGTTAGATGTAATAGCTAAAATGATCTTTCCAACAGACTGATTCTGATAATTTTTTTTAGACAAACTGGAATTTCTGTTTTGTTATATATTGTGTCAAAAAAAGGCTTCATACTGTGCTAAATATGTTTACTATTTTTGTAATTTTAAATTTATCTTAAATTTTATAGACAGAATAGGGGGAAAAGCAGGAAAAGAAATGTATGCATTATTCTCTAGATAACGGCATTGTTTTGATTTATAATGCATTTTGCAAAAAATGCAGAAACTTACAGAAATTTATATTGAATGTATATTTGCAGATCATCAGTTTATGAAAATATTGTGAAACTGTTTTTTTTAGATTAGAAAGCACCATATTTTTTAGTATCAAGAATTGTACTTTGCCTTCAAGTAGTATCTTGGGGCCCCTATAAAAAACTGACAGGAATTTAAATTAAATCTTTAAATTAAAATAAATGAAACCAAATTTGAGTTAGATTAATTAGATATAGGCAGTACAATGAGAGAGAGAGAGAGAGAGAGAGAGAAAATAATTAATAGTCTTTCCTTGTTGAATATATTAATGTTTATCTTTTACCACATACATATTAAAGGGTCTATCCCCTGTTCTCAGTAAAATCCGTAGATCTCTTACTTTCTTCCGTTCAGCATCATACGGAATTAATTTCTGTCAGCCCCAGTTTTTTCAGAGTGCTGATAAATCCTCAATTACCTATTCAGAGGCCAGGAGGTTGGAATAAGAGGGAAGGGTTATTTATGTGGAAAATGAAATCAAAGGAAAGAGGAAATCTTTTTTTTCTTAATAGCAAATTGTTGAGGGTGTGTATGAAGTCTTAGTCATGCTACAGAAATTAACTGGCAAATTATTAGCATTAAGTCTAGAGTAAAAAGGAGCTGCAATGCATAGCAGTGTCAGTAAGCAAAAAAGGGAGGAACAATCTGTAATCTCAGAAAGCAGCAGTAGTACATGGGAAAATGTTTTGCACAGCTTACTGATCTTATTTTCCTATTCCCTGTCACTTTAGTAGTATATCTTCATATAGCCAAAATTTATCAGCAACCTATAGAGATTAGAGTATATCTGTGTTGTTTAAATTAGGATGAATACTACATGGCAGCAAAAAAGTACCAAAACTTTTATTTATCATCTAGATTTTTGCAGCTCAGTACTGTAACCTAATGGTTTATTCACCTCTGTTTTATTTTACACAGGTTGTATAAGTTAGCATTTCCGTTATGAAATTACCACATCTCTTCCAAGCCTTCCTATATCTGCTTTGAAATGGTTGGAGGAAAATAGAGGGACTTTTTTCTTTCAGATATAATATTTATTCTGATTAATACAATATCTAATTATAGAAAATTTTCCCTGTTTGAATTCAGTAATGTTGCCACAGTGAAGCATCCATTTGGGTTATTTATTATTTGCAAATCTTCTAAAGCTTCTGTCCTGAATATTTTAAGGCTAGAAATATATTTTGACTTAGATTGATCCTTTAGTTCATTGAATTTTTTTAAGGGTATTTTAGCCTATCATAGAAGTGAACTGTACCATGAGTAGTCTATTTTTACAGTGACAGGGGCCTACCTGTTCAAATGTATTTGAAAGTTTTGGTGTAATGTTAATAATGACTTATAAAGAAATCTTAACATTGTATGTGTCTGAAACTATAAGGATAGCAAAATGAAATATTTCATACATTCCTAAACTGCAAATTATTTCTGCGGTATTATTTTCTAATTAATATTATCTCTTTTCCTAGGAAATTCCAAGTTACAGCAAGTATTGCATTCTGCATGATTTGAAGGCTTTCAAGTTTAATCTGTTCTATGCCTATTGGCTGAAGGAATGTAAACCATAAGTTTTTAGAACTGAACAAAAATTGGCAGAAGTACAGGTAAATATTTCTTGATAGTTAATTAAATGTAATAGAGTACATAACTGATCTCTATCTAACTCAGTGGTTCTCAACCTGTGGGTCGGGACCCCATTTGGGGTCGAACGACCATTTCACGGGGGTCGCCAAACAAGGCTGTCCGCCATTTTCCCCCCCTTTTCTTTGGCCACGCCCCTGGCACCCAGTGATGTATAAGTCGTTGGGGGTCACCACAACATGGGGAACTGTATTATGGGGTCGTGGCATTAGAAAGGTTGAGAACCACTGATCTAACTGTTGGAACTTAATGTATTAATAGACTATGTTTGGAACAGGCATACGCCGAAGATGTTCTGTTTTCTTACTCTCTGCAATATTTATTATGAATTTTCAGTTTCAGCATCATTTTTATTGAAGTCCATTAGCTTTATATTTACAAAAATATAGATAGTCCTCAATTTACAACTACAATTGGGAGTAGAATTGTTGCTAAGCAAGGCAGTTAAGTGAATCATGCCCAATTTTATGACCTTTTCACCATGGTGGTTAATCAAATCAATGAAGTTAAATGAATCATAGGTTGTTAAGCAAATCCAGCTTCTCTCATTGACTTCGCTTGTCTGAAGCTGGCTGAGAAGATTGCAAATAGCAATCGCCTAACCTTGGGACACTGCAGCTGTTGTAAATACATGCTGTTTGCCAATTACCCAAAATTTGATCATGTGACCATAGGGATGTGATGGTTTGACTGATTACAAATCATTGTTGTCAGTGCTGTTGTAACTTTGGTCACCAAATGAATGGCTACCTGAATAACAGCAGTTTGTAATGTCTGATAGTTAAACTATACTATCTTGTGCACCATATACATTAACCAAGTTTTAGATATTTTTTTTGTCAATCAGGAACAATACTTTCTCCAGTACAGGAGATGGAGAATCCATCAGTGGGTTTTCTCTGTCTACCTGCTCTTGAGACCAAGTAGCCAAACTTGACACGCCCCCTCTTGCTAGGAGATCCAGCCTTAACTTGGTCTCAGCTCTTGAAGACGTATCTGGTTTGGCTCTCAGCAGATAGCAAGTTAGAGAAAGAAATCCATTGGTGAATTCTCCCTATTTTATTGGCAAACTCTAAATTACTACCCTTCTAACAATTTCCCCACAAATACTGGGTGGGGTTGGAGTTTCCCTGCACCATTCCCAGTTCCCTTCCCCAGGGCCCGGGGGGGGGGAACTTCAGCAGGGGCTGCTTACAGCACATTTCTCCCAATTCTCCCCAGTTCTTGTCCCTTGTTTTTGGGGTGACTTGCAGGCTGCAGGTCCAGATTCAGATACTTGAATCCAGACTGTCTGAGCCTTCACGAGCAGCCTAGGGTAGTCGCGGGTGCCATTTTGGCTGCAGTTATTGGCAACAAACTCATTTAACCCTCTATTTGACCGGCCGGTCTGAGGAAGTCCCTCCAAGACAAAATTCAACGCAGCAGCTAGCGCTGCAGTCGCGACTCACCCGGTCTTTAGAAATTCAATCGTAAGGGCTGCGGAGGCGGTTCTCGAAGGAGAACAAACAGTGGCCGCCATTTTGAGACTGACGAGACCACTGGGGAGCCGCGAACAGCCTCCTTTGGGGTTGGCAGTAGTCGGATTCATTCCCAGATTCTGGTGGCTTGGGGGGGCTAGCTCTTGGGAGCAGCTGATCCCAGTTTCACACGGCCGTTTATAGCCATCGAGGCCCATTTATTGCAGTGGCCATTTTGAAGCCTCGTGCTTCTCTAAGCCCAACAAGGCCTATTCGCAGTACGAGCGGCCATTTTGAATTGCACGTGGAGGCCTGCTTAGACCAATGGGGCCTACTCAGTAGTCCAACAGATCTAGGCCACACAATAAGGGGGGGAACCCTCCTATCACACTCCTTCAATAGGGTAGCCGCCAATTGAGTTTTTTGATCTCTTCAGGCCTTTACACCCCCTTTAGGGGTTGTCTTACCTGGTTTTTTTTTCCATTATTGTGCACACTGCCTGGCCACCTAAGGCCTCTGGGCGGAGCCCAGAGAGTGGTTCCAAACGTGCCTTCGGTATCTGATTCAATTACCGTGACCAAAGCCCAGAGAGATTTTTTTGCTGGTCGGGTGGTCAGGGGAGCAGTCTTGTTACTTGTTCCAATCTCGCTTCTGCCAATTACTTGCCTGCTAGAGCTTCTCAGTTTTTCCTGGGATTGCTCAAGCAGGATGGAGGAATCGCCGTTGCCTCAACCCATGAGCACGGCCTCTCTATCCTCCAGTTACGGCTGCCATAAACCTTCTGACCAGAAGGCGGCAGGCAAGTCCAAAGCTAAGACCAAGCATACGCTCAAGAAGCCCTCCAAGTTGGCGGAAAAGCAAGCCAGCCGTAAGCACCAGGCCGTGGAGAAGGAGTTCTCCAGAGCACAGAGGCAGGCCGAATTAGATATGGATCAGTTGGCGGCCCTCGAGGTCGAACTTCCCTTAGGCCCATCAACATCCACTCAGGGCGTATGGTCCATCCCAAGGACACCGGCCACACTAGGTTCACCCCCTACATTGGCTCAACATTCAACAACAGTACCAGACCCAACCCCAGAGCCCACATTTATGCCCACGGCCGCTGGACTCAGGGAACCGGACATCGGAGATATCTTCTTCGACGGTCGCCTTGAGGCCTTGCTAGCCAAGGTCGTGGACCGGGCTTTAGTGCAATGTTTGGTCCATAGCCCCGATCAAGGGGCTTCCACATCAGCCATGCCGCCTTATGATCCTCCTACGGAGTTTCCCATACTCCAGGAGCCAACCTCCCCCGCACAGTCTTCCATGAGCGGTTACTCCTCCCCTCAAGATGAGGAACAACCAGAAAGTAATCTCTCAGAGAATGAGGAACTTCCCCCTGAGCCCTCCCCTTTGGAGGGTCTGTTCAATTCAAATCTTTTTCTCACAATTCTGCGCAAGGCCACATCCACAGCGAACATAGGGTCCGACCAGTTCCCTATTGGACACCAGCCCCAATCCTATATTCTTTGAGAAGGTAGCAACCGAACGTCTCATTTCGTGTTCTTCCATTTTTCTGAAAGGGAACAAGAAACAATGGGCTTCCTCTTCTTCATTTCCTTCAGTAAGTGGGACTGACAAAAGGATCTTTAGCATCTCCACAGACCTCACTGATGCTCTGGAGGTACCTAAGGTGGCTGAAGCCTGGACCCCCCTGGTATCCCAGATGGCAATTGCTGGGGATCTCTCGGAGGCGTTCAAAGCTGACGACAAAAGGTGGGAACAAACATTCCGGAAAACCCATCACTCAGCATGGGCAATCAAGACGGCCACGTGCGTGTCTTTTTTTTGTCCGGACCACTCTTTTATGGTTACGCCAAATCCAGGCCAGGATTCCCACTGAGGACATTAGGACCCACCAGGACCTAGCCAAGATTGTAGCGGCCACTGAGTACGCTGCGGATGCAACGCTTCAATCAGCCGTCTTTTCCTCCAGGTCCATAGCATCCAATATCATTGCCAGGAGGATGTTGTGGTTAAAACACTGGCAGGCTGACACCAAGATCAAACGGCGTCTAGTGGCTGCTCCTTATTTGGGCAACAACTTATTTGGGGAGGCTCTGGCTCCGTACCTTGTAGAAAACAAGGACAAGCGCAAGGTCATGGCTCATTTGAACAAGAAGTCCGACAAGCGCCCCACTCCTTACTTTCGTAGACAGTCCTTTCGTCAGACAATGGGCACAACCACCACTCAGCCCTCCCGACCATACACAATGAGAAGGACAGACCGTATGACCGCCTCTATGCCAGGTTTCCGGTCCAGGCAACAGAGTCAGGCCAAGCGGCCATTTCGAGGGGCAGGTCATCCCTACCGAAAGTCCAAGTGACTCCTTCTCTGATCTTCCCATCGGGGGAAGATTAGCCCACTTCTTCCACCAGTGGGAACTCACCTCCATGGACAACTGGGTTTTACAGACCATCCAGTCCGGGCTGACCCTGGAGTTTTGGTCCAGACCCCCAGACCGATTCACCGTCTGTTCCGTCTCCAGGGACCCACTCAAACAAGGACTCATGCAGGAAGCCATCCAACATCTTTTAGATATTCAGGCCATAGAACCGGTACCACCGGACCTCTGGAGATGGGGGTTCTACTCCATCCTCTGTGGTTCCCAAGACCTCGGGGGGGGGGGTGGAGAGCAATCCTGGACCTCAAACATCTCAATCATTACATCACTTACAAAAAGTTCAAGATGCAATCTCTCCAGTCCATTCTGGGAGGCATCAGACAGGGAGACTTCCTGGCCTCAATAGACCTCACGGAAGCATACCTCCACATCCCCATTCATCCAGCTCACCGGCGGTTCCTAAGGTTCTGTTACAAAGGCAGACATTTCTAGTACAAGGCACTCCCCTTCAGCCTTTCTTCAGCACCCAGGGTGTTCACCAAAATCCTGGCCGTGCTGGCCACCCAGTTGAGGAAGATTTCAATACGCGTCCAGTGCTACCTGGACGACATCCTGATTTAAGCGTCATCCTTCCAGGCAGCTCAGGCGGACGTGAAACACACCATTCAGGTCCTCCAACAACATGGCTTCTCAGTCAACTTTCAAAAAAGCCAGACAATTCCCTCATCCAGGCTTCTGCACCTGGGAGCCGTCATAGACACCTTCAACTGCATGGTCTATCTCCCCCAGGAGTGGGTGGCCAACATCAGGGAGCTGGCTCGCTGGGTATACAAGGAGCACACAGTTCCATTGGTCTTGCTATCCCAATTGTTAGGAAAGATGGTCTCCTGCATAGCCATAGCTGCCTGGGCCAGACTTCACTTGCAGGACCTCCAATGGTTCCTCCTACTATTTCAGCGGGTGAATGCCAGCGCATCCAACTGTCAGGTCAGGGTTCCGGTTCACATTCGTAGGGTGCTTCGCTGGTGGTTCTCGCAAGCAGTGACCAAAGGATCACCCTTCAAGGAACCAGACCGCATCACCATCATGACAGGCGCCAGTCTGTTTGGTTGGGGAGCCCATCTATAGTCTCAGTTTGTGCAGGGATGTTGGTCCCACGCGGACTTGAGACACAACATCAATTGGCTAGAGCTCAGGGCCATTCATCTAGCTCTTCGCCAATTCAGGCACTGGATCAGGGGTCGTCACGTCCTGGTCCTTACGGACAATGTGGCATCCAAGGCACACATCAACCGCCGGGGGCACCAGGTCTAGGTTCCTTATGTCCGAGGCACGACTCCTGTTCTCCTGGGCAGAGTCCAATCTGGCCTCCCTCAAGGCCGAACACATCTCGGGGGTCAACAACCAGCAAGCAGACTTCCTGAGTCGCTCCACCGTGAATCCCTCGGAGTGGGGGTTACATCCGGACCTATTCTCCGAAATCTCTCACAGGTTCGGCCACCTGATCCTCGACCCGTTTGCATCGTCGGCCAATGCCCAGCTCCCCAGGTTCTACTCCCGCTATTTCCTTCCGGGGGCGGAGGGGACGGACGCCTTGTGGACTCAGTGGCCACAAGGCCTTCTTTACGCCTTCCCTCCCCTACCACTCATACCGGCGACCATCCGCAAGCTTCTCCAGGAGCAGGCGGAAGTGATACTCGTGGCCCCGTACTGGCCACAGAGGCCGTTGTTTGCCGACCTGATAAACCTTTCTCAGTCTCCCCCATGGACGATTCCCCCTCATCGAGTGTCGCTACACCAGGGGACTCTCCAGCACCCAGACCCTCAGTGGTTACAATTGACAGTCTGGAGCTTGAGCGCAGTATAATGACCCAAGAATTATTTTCCCTGCGCGCCATTGCCGTGATTCAGGCTTCTCCTCGTCCAGCGACCAAGCACATCTATGATTCTACTTGGAAAAATTTTTGCCATTGGTGTCAAAGGTGACAACTTGATATTTCCAAATTGATCATCCCTCAGATAGTAGATTATCTGTTGGACGGGCTGGACAGGGGACTTGCCCCCACGACTATTCGCAGACAGGTGACGGCCCTGTCCACACTATTCACCTGTGCGGATTCTGTTCCCTTAGCTCACAATCCTAGGATTCATGCCTTTATCAAGGGTGCATGTAACACCAGGCCTCCTGTGGTACACAGGCACCCTTCCTGAGAATTGCCTCGTGTCCTTCGCGCTCTGACAAAACCACCATTTGAACCTTTTGCAACCATTCCGTTGCGGAACCTGTGTCTCAAGGTGGTGTTTTTGATTGCCATCACATCAGCCAGGCGTATCTCTGAGCTGGCTGCCCTGTCGGTTAGGAATGACCTCTGAATCTTTCACAGTGACAGGGTGGTCCTACATCTGGATCCCACCTTTGTTCCGAAGGTAAATTCGCTCTTCCACAGGGCACAGGAAGTTATCTTAACAAATTTTTGCCCAAATCCTTCCCATGACTTGGAGCGGCAGTGGCACACGCTGGACATCCGCAGGGCACTGCGGTATTATATCAAGCGCATGGAGCCATTTCGTCGGTCTGAAGCCCTATTTGTATCTTTCCGCTCAGCTTCTCTGGGTCAGAAAGTTTCCGCCGGCACTATGGGCAAGTGGATCCGGAATTGCATCGCGTAGGCGTACCAGTATTCTTCCCTGCCGGCTCCAAGTCATCTCATTGCCCATTCCACTCGCAGTGCTGCGACTTCTGCGGCATGGGCCACTCAGGCGTCCTTCAAGGAGATTTGCAGGGCCGTGACATGGTCCTCACCTTCCCCGTTTGTACGCCATTACAGAATTGACCGCTTTGCTTCGGCGGAAGCCTCCTTTGGTCGGAGGTACTCCAGCAAGTGGTCTCTGAAGACACTATTCCGGCCTTATCTGTTTCCCACCCATCGGGACAGTGAGGCTTTGGTATGTCCCATTGATGGATTGTCCATCTCCTGTACTGGAGAAGGGGCGTTGTCTTACCTGAACGCCTTTTCTCAGTACGGAGATGGAAAATCCACACCCACCCTTTAGGTCAGTTAGGCCTTATCCAAGGGTTTGAGAGCCAACACCTCGTCCACCTTCAGCCACTTCACCCTTGTTGAGACTGGATCTCCTAGCAAGAGGGTGCGTATCAAGTTTGGCTACTTGGTCTCAAGAGCAGGCAGACAGAGAAAACCCATTGGTGGATTCTCCATCTCCGTACTGAGAAAAGGCTTTCAGGTAAGACAACGCCCCATCTATTTCGTAACTCAGTATATGTAAGTAAACTGATGCTATGAGGAGGCTCATTTGGGATTGATCTTTGATTTCTAAACACCATTGATTCATAGAATATGGTAGATGCCATCTAGTTTATGAAAAAAAATGATGTTCACTATATCCTTCAGAGTTGTTTGATCTATAGATTCTTTTTAAATATGTTGGCTTTGGAGGAAAATATGTACTGTTTTCAGGAATTGTAGACAATATTTGAAAGAAGTACTGCATTTTGCAAAATGTATTGATGTGAAAAAGCAGTTCTCTTCAGAGCATTAAAGCAGCCAAAAGCATGTACATATTTCCTGAGGCACTTGGGGACAGCTTTTAAAGTAGCAGCATAGGCCTTATAAAAGTTGCAACAGTTTTCATTTTTGGAATACCGCTTTGTGATGCTAACATAATTTACAAAGCACCTGTTTCCAATGCTTTGAAGAGCCCTATAATTAAGTTGTTGCAACTTAATTTTTTTAAACTGTACTATAAATAGGAAATTGTCTCAATTTTATATCTAGATGTTTGTCTACTAAATACTATTTTAAATTACCATGAGTACTGTTTTAATCTTTATTCTTATGTATAGATTCACATGGTTGTGTTCTGTTCATAACTCAATTGAATGTTTTAATGCAGTCTGCCTGTTAAGATGACACTGATGACATAAAATTTGTCTATATAACCATTACTGACTATAGCTGGGAAATATGTACAGTGGGGCAAAAAAGTATTTAGTCAGCCATCAATTGTGCAAGTTCTCCCATTTAAAAAGATGAGAGAGATCTGTAATTGTCATCATAGGCAGACCTCAACTATGAGAATCAAAATGAGAAAACAAATCCAGACAATCACATTGTCTGATTTGGAAAGAATTTATTTGCAAATTATGGTGGAAAATAAGTATTTGGTCAATATCAAAAGTTCATCTCAATACTTTGTTATATATCCTTTGTTGGCAATGACAGAGATCAAACGTTTTCTGTAAGTCTTCACAAGGTTGGCACACACTGTTGCTGGTATGTTGGCCCATTCCTCCATGCAGATCTCCTCTAGAGCAGTGATGTTTTGGGGCTGTCGTTGGGCAACACGGACTTTCAATTCCCTCTAAAGGTTTTCTATGGGGTTGAGATCTGGAGACTGGCTAGGCTACTCCAGGACGTTGAAATGCTTCTTAGAAGCCACTCCTTCATTGCCCGGGTGGTGTGTTTGGGATCATTGTCATGCTGAAAGACCCAGTCACGTTTCATCTTCAGTGCCCTTGCTCATGGAAGGAGGTTTGCACTCAAAAATCTCACGATACATGGCCCCATTCAGTCTTTCCTGTACACGGATCAGTCGTCCTGGTCCCTTTGCAGAGAAACAGCCCCAAAGCATGATGTTACCACCCTCATGCTTCACAGTAGGTATGATGTTCTTTGGATGCAACTCAGCACTCTCTCTCCTCCAAACACGACGAGTTGTGTTTCTACCAAACAGTTCTACTTTGGTTTCATCTGACCATAGAACATTCTCCCAATCCTCTTCTGGATCATCCAAATGCTCTCTAGCAAACTTCAGATGGGCCTGGACATGTACTAGCTTAAGCAGGGGGACATGTCTGGCACTGCAGGATCTGAGTCCCTGGCGGCGTAGTGTGTTACTGATGGTTGCCTTTGTTACGTTGGTCCCAGCTCTCTGCAGGTCATTCACTAGGTCCCCCCATGTGGTTCTGGGATTTTTGCTCACTGTTCTTGTGATCATGTTGACCCCACGGGGTGAGATCTTGCGTGGAGCCCCAGATCGAGGGCGATTATCAGTGGTCTTGTATGTCTTCCATTTTTTAATTATTGCTCCCACAGTTGATTTCTTCACACCAAGCTGCTTGCCTATTGCAGATTCAGTCTTCCCAGCCTGGTGCAGGTCTACAATTTTGTTTCTGGTGTCCTTCAACAGCTCTTTGGTCTTCACCATAGTGGAGTTTGGAGTGTGACTGTTTGAGGTTGTGGACAGGTGTCTTTTATTCTGATAACAAGTTCAAACAGGTGCTATTAATACAGGTAATGAGTGGAGGACAGAGGAGCCTCTTAAAGAAGAAGTTACAGTTTCCAAATCAGACAATGTGATTGTCTGGATTTGTTTTCTCATTTTGTCTCTCATAGTTGAGGTCTGCCTATGATGACAATTACAGATCTCTCTCATCTTTTTAAGTGGGAGAACTTGCACAATTGGTGGCTGACTAAATACTTTTTTGCCCCACTGTACATATTTCCCAGCTATAGTCAGTAATGGTTATATAGACAAATTTTATGTCATCAGTGTCATCTGATGGTGGCTGACTAAATACTTTTTTGCCCCACTGTATATGTATCTGCTACTTCATACTTAAAGTAGGAGAACAAGTAAAAGAAATATGCATATTAAAATAGTTACTAATTTACAAATTTAGAGATATGATATGCAAATGTAAGATGGGATTTGTGATTTGTACATTTTTTTATTATTTCATAACAAAAAGATCATTACTACATATATCAAGGTTTGGGCTTATTTATTTTGTCCATTGGACATTCTAGTCAGCGAAAACAAACATTTTACATCCCTTTTGCAAATGTAAAACTAATGTTAATTAAGAAAGACTGGCCAAAAGGCATTTGTTTCTTTAAAGTGGAATGGGTAAGGACTGAATACAAGTCTTGATAGAGTGCATTCTATAAAAAGATTGTATTTCCAAAGTAGTCTGAAATAATTATCATAATTTGACTGTTTTGAATACAGACTTTGTATAGTGGACAAGTATCTTTTCCTTGTTTTGTGCTGTGTTATGATCTTCTACTTAGGATCACATTTTCTTTTGCAGATATCTTTGTAAATTAGGAAACATGGGTGCATTTTTGGATAAACCAAAAACTGAGAAACATAATGCTCACGGGGCAGGAAATGGCCTGCGTTATGGCCTCAGCAGTATGCAAGGCTGGAGAGTTGAAATGGAAGATGCTCACACAGCTGTTGTAGGAATTCCTCATGGTTTGGAGGACTGGTCTTTCTTTGCTGTTTATGATGGTCACGCAGGATCTCGTGTGGCAAATTACTGCTCAAACCACTTATTAGAACATATCACTAACAATGAAGACTTCAGGGGAACAGAACAGCCTGGCTGTGCTCTTGAACCTTCAGTAGAAAATGTTAAGAGTGGAATCAGAACTGGCTTCTTGAAAATTGATGAATATATGCGCAATTTTTCAGACCTCAGAAATGGCATGGACAGGAGTGGCTCAACAGCAGTGGGAGTTATGATTTCACCTGAGCACATTTATTTTATCAACTGTGGAGATTCACGTGCTGTTCTATATAGGAATGGACAGGTCTGTTTTTCAACACAAGATCACAAGCCTTGCAATCCAAGGGAGAAGGAGAGAATTCAGAATGCAGGCGGGAGTGTCATGATTCAGCGTGTTAATGGCTCATTAGCAGTGTCTCGTGCTCTGGGGGACTATGACTACAAATGCGTTGACGGCAAAGGTCCTACAGAACAACTTGTTTCTCCAGAACCAGAGGTTTATGAAATTGTAAGAGCTGAAGAGGATGAATTTATTGTCTTGGCTTGTGATGGAATCTGGGATGTAATGAGCAATGAGGAGCTCTGTGAATTTGTTAAATCTAGGCTTGAAGTATCAGATGATCTGGAAAAAGTGTGCAATTGGGTAGTGGATACCTGTTTACACAAGGTATGTAAACTTTTCAGACTAAAGATTATTTTAGATGTTCCTTTTACCATTAAAACTGAACAAAAATTAATTCTAAAAACAGCATAGATTTGGTATTGATGAGGCTACCATCGTATGATGCCGTCTTACTAATCATTTATCTGCTATTTGTTTGGGCTTGGCAATGTATTTTATACAACCCAAATTATAGCACTTTAAAATTTTTCACAACCTACTTTATATTTACTCTTAAAAATTAATATTTAAAACACTCCAAAGCTAGATTCTTTTCATGAAGTAAAGCAATATTGTTTCTTAAGGAAAAAAATGCGTTGCTTTTCAGTGTTTAAGCTCTTCTCCTCGCCACTCAAATACTCAAACCAGTATTATTACCATTGATTTTTTCCAGGGTTTGCATTTGATAATGAAATGTCACATTACTATTTAAAGTACATTTATAGCTGTTATTGTAAAGCTTTAAAATTTCCAGAATTAATGATACAGAAATTTATATATGTTCAAATTGCTCATTATTTGTAAACAAATAATATCCAGTCTTCAATTTTGTAAAAATGTTAGTTTAAGTAGAATGTAGTGCAGATGTTTTACATTTGATGTTTTTTAAAGCAGAACCTGATTTTCAAAATGTTAATAACTCAAATATTTCAAATATCTAAAATTATTTAAATGAATTTCAGTCTTTCATATATTACAAAATTAAGACTTGAAGAATCATAAAATGCATAAGGGCTCCTATAAATCAATCTAATCCATTCCCTGATAGTGAGAAAATCCACTAAATCATCCCAATAATTAGCTATTTAGCTTCTAGTTGAAAACTTCAATTGATGGGGAGTTTGTCACTACAGGTAATCCTCAATTTACAACCACAATTGGGAATTTCTGTTGCTAGACAATGAAGCCATTATAGCAATCACATGACCAAACCTGATTTTATGGTCATTTTTTATTGCAGTCATTAAACAAATGCAGCTTACCCAATTAATTTTGCTTGTTGGATAGAAACCAGCTGGGAGGGTCACAAACTGCTATCACATGACCCTAAGTCACTGCAGCTGTTGTAAATGCAATCCCCTTAACAAGCTCCTGATTTATGATCATATAACCTCATGGATAGGTCATGAGGCACTTTTTCCAAAGTATCATAATTCTCATTAAACAAGTTGTAAGTCAAGGATTACCTATCACACTGTTTTCTTTGCTTAACATTTATCACTGGGAAAGTGCTATATTCAGCTGGAACCCTTTTAATTTCAACTGGTTGATTCTTGTAAAGAATGTGCAAAGCTTACTGGTATTGGAGGAATCTGAAACAGTCTATATCGGGTAGGCAACCTTGGCTCTTTTATGATTCATGGACTTCAACTCCCAGAGCTGGCTCAGGAATTCTGGGAATTGAAGTTCATGAGTCATAAAAGAGGTTGCCTACCCCTGATCTATATGGATAGATGTTTATGATTGTAAACTGCCCAGAGTTACAAATACATTCCAAGTTTCCTTCCTCTTGCATGTGACAGATAGACAGATACTTTGTAGATCCCTGCCATATTTTCTTCCCTGCCTGCTCTCTTAATAATTCTTCATAGGGCTTGGTTTCAAGATCCCTTATTCTAGCAAGTATCCTGTGAATCCACTCCAGCTTTTCCATGTCTCTTTTAAAGTGTGTTACCTCTTCTCTTTTACTATGCCTATTCTTTAGAACAGTGGTTCTCAACCTTCCTAATGCCGCGACCCCCAACCATGTGGTCGTAAGTCGAGGACTACCTGTATTTCCCTGTGGGCGGGGGCAGGAGGAGGCGCGTATGCTCCGCCTCCTCTCCTGCGGCTGGAGCGCATGCCGGGAAGGCCGAGGGTGCACGCGGGCCGTCGCCCAGCAACCGCCTTGGCCTGGGAGCACCGTGCATGCGTGGTGCCGTCCCCTTCATCATGCGGAGGGCTCGGCTCAGACCGGTCGCCCACACAGCTGAGCCGGCCCGGGGCGGCGTCGGGGGCGCGTTTCAAGTGTCCGGATGTCGGTGGGGAACCAGTGGGGCCACTACACACCGCCCGGCTCCCGACAGCCAGCTGAGAGTCAGCCACAAGTGTGCCAGCTACCCTCCCAGCGCCCACCGCTGCCCCTCTAGCCTACCTTGGCCATTGCCCATTCGCTGCAGCAGCAGGCAGGCCCAGGTGCTCCTGGGCAGCCATGGCAAGCAGCAGCAGGCCGACCACTGGCCCAGGCACTCCTGGGTGGCCCTCTCACTCCTGGCCCTCTTTTACTTACATTTAGTAGTTGCTCAGCAGGGAGGGGTGGAAACTTCCAGAAAGCTTGCCTCAGCTGCAGACAACTTGCAGCAACGTTTGCCCACTGGCAGGCTCAGCAGGGCAGAGACAGCCTGGACAATTCCTATTGGCTTTTGAAAGCCAATAAAATTATACTCTATTCAAGAGAGTCTATTCTGTTGGCTTTCGAATGCCAATAGAATAGACTCTCTTGAATAGAGTCTATTCTATTGGCTTTCAAAAGCCAATAGAATAAGAAGGAGTAGCACAGCTCATGAAAAAGGAGGAAAAAAACAAAAACAAAAAAAATGCCGGACTGCGTTTCATAAGGATTCTATGAGGAAAAACACCAGGACTTTGGCGACCCCCGTGAAATGGTCATTCGACCCCAAATGGGGTCGCGACCCACAGGTTGAGAACCGCTGCTTTAGAACAACATTCCCCTCTGAATTCCACATAGTCCCATTTCCTGTTCTCTCCAGAGTCACTGAGCTAGGATAATGTCTGTATCTGCTATTCATGATGTAATTTAGTAATTGAGAATGTGTTTGCTATCCCAGTGTTGTTGTTTTTTTAAAAATTATTAACTGTTCTTAAACTAATATATGCTGTCCAGAATCACTGATGAGAATGTGGCCTTAAAAATTGAAATTATAAATAAATATAAATTAGTAAACAGGGCACAGTCCCAAGTGTAATCAGTCCATTGCAGAGGAGATGAAAACTCTTTTAGCACCTGATATCCACACACAGTACTTTCTGCATGCTGATATTCAGGTGGTGGTTGACTAGTTCTCTAAGAACCTTTCTATAAGACTGCTGCCAATCCGGATCTCTGCAGTCCTGTATTGATGTACTGTATCTGCAACTTCCTACCCAGATGTAAACCTTTCCAGTTCTCACTGCTGAACCTCACTCTGGAGTTTGGCAATGGCTCAGTCTTAACTAAGTATATATTAAATTATGGTTTTATCTTATGACGTATTAGCTAGTTGCCTTAGTGCAAATTTGTTAAGCATTCCTTTCATTCTCTCTAAATCAGGGGTTCCCAACCAGGGTGCGAGACGATATTCCAGGGGGTGCAAAAACTTGGGTTTTCAAAATTATAGTGTATATAGTGTATAATTCGTTGCTGTTATTTCAAACTTTTGTAAGGGGTGTGAGAATATATTAGAAGCGTTCTAGGGGTGTGGGGTATAGAAAAAGTTGGGAACTGCTGCTCTAAATCATTTATAAAGAGTAACACTGGACTGAGAATGGTGCGCTGTAACCCTACTTGAATTTTTGTTAAGGCTCAACTATGAGCATTATTTGGATATGATTGTGTAATCAGTTATAAATCCACAAGATTGCAATATCCTCTAGCTCATAGACCTCAACTCCCAGAATTCCTGAGCCAGCTTGGCTAGCTCAGGAATTCTGGGAGTTGAAGTCCACGAGTCATAAAAGAGCCAAGGTTGCCTACCCCTGCTCTAGCTCATGTGTCCTTCTTGTCCACAGTTGATAACATTTTGTTTAATTATAGTTATATAGATTATTACTTGCTCCTTGATTTCCTTTTGTAAAAAGATGCAGCTATTCAGACCAAAGTAGAAATGGTGCTTCATGATCATACTGATAACAATTTGAGTAGCTGAACATTGCTGCAAAATGATATAATTATATGAGATATTCTGAATTCATTTATGTGTGGGATAAATCTCCTAAGCACTAAGTTATTTGAGAAAAATTCAAAGTTGGGTGACCAAGTCTACCTACTCAGTTGGACTTTTGTTCAGCCTTGCAGGTCTAACTCTCTCGAGTTCCCTGTCTTCCAGAGAAGATTTTGAAGGCATACAGACAAGAAATGGAAATAGTTTGTCTTTATTTTTTTCATTAAAAACTGTTTAGTCAGTAGAACAGTTTAATGGGAGTTTACCTAATTAAATTTGGAAATTTAAAAATGAATCTGACAAACAGTTACAGAAAGTTTTAAAAATATTTTAACTGAATAAACATGTAGTCTAAGGTTGTGAAAAGGATAAGCATTCATATCAATTATGTAATGTTTTTTTCCTCTCCAAATATAGGGAAGTCGTGATAACATGAGTATTGTTCTAGTTTGCTTTTCAAATGCTCCTAAGGTCTCAGATGAGGCAATGAAAAGAGATGCAGATTTGGATAAGCATTTGGAATCACGAGTGGAAGGTAAGAAGTTGATTTTTGTATTAACTTTTTTTCCCTCTTAGATTATTTTCTTAGAATAGTTGAGGCAGCTTGAAACATAAATGGACGAGCATAGGAAGGGAACAGGAAACAGAATACCATGAAGGTGCACCTGGATCACATGACTCAGAGCAACCTAGAGTAGATGCTGATGCAGTAGTTTGTCTAAAAGCTTGCTGTTTGTTCAGCAGAACAAAATTTCTTATCTTGCAAAATTTTAAACTTATTTAAGTTATATTGCTAGTTCATTGCTGATGGGAATAGTTTCTTATATAATAGCAGAGAAAAATTATTTCTGAACAGCAGGAAATGTGAATAGTTAGCTGACAAATATAAGAAACTTTTGTTAAAACCTAATAATATCAGCTGCAGAATGTGATAAATTATAGAATTATTGTGTATCTACTAAACTTGAAGTCAACATTAGAAATGCCAGTTGTTTGGGGAGAATTTTCAGGTTAATAATGATGTTTTGTGAACCCAATAACTGCATGGAGACCATTTTGAAGTTTTTTGCCAATAGCCAGAAGTGGTTGGCCATTTGGTTCTGGAATTCTCTGTGTCCACACCCCTCCACCACTGCAGTTGGCCCATCCTTGGCAATTGATGGACCTGTTAAATTCAAGGAGCGTGGGGATTTTCCAGAAGCTCTGGATCAGAATTTGGTCAATTGTGGTCCAAGTTTGGAATGAGCATAAAATGAGGGCCTTGGAATTGGATTGTCCCTGTCTAGACTCTCTGCTTGTGAATCCCAGAGAGCACCGTGGCTTACCAAAGAGTTGTGGGAGATCAAACAACACAAGGGACGCTTAGAAACTTGTTGGCAAAAGATGAAGAGCAAGACCACAGGTGATAGCCTTTATTAGGACTCACCTTGTGGCAATAAGAGCAATGAAGTGAGTTTACTTCTCTGCTCTTACTGTGTCGGCAGATAATCAGTTGATGATTCTGTTTAGGATGACCAAATCTCTTCTGGGTAAGAAGGGACTGGGGTAGCCCATGTTTGGCTGCTTTGAAGAATGTTCTTGGCATCTGTCAAATAAAGATACTCAACTTTGCATAGAGTTAGCTATTGGCTGGGAAGTCCTATGGAAGTGGTGTTGGCATTTCTGAGCTCTACTATATGGGAAGAATCTGAGCTAGTTACTCCTAAGGAAATGGATAGTAGAATCATCCTGGTTGATTAAGGGCCCCTGGAAATAGTATGCAGTTGGGTTCATGTGATTAAAGCCTCATTGACAGAGTGGAGGCACCTTCCTTGAAGGAGGCAGTGGTCACACACTTCTTAAGAGGTCTTGGATTCAATTCTGTTAAGACAGCTTTTGCCCAATTCCCAGCCTATCCTTTTAGGGAAGGTTGTTAAAAAGATAGTGGATGCACAACTTTAGAGGCCACAAATTATCTGAAATAGCAGAACCTTTTCCAGCAAGGATCAGGCAAGGTTACGGCACTGAGACAGCATTGGTCATGCAAGTGGTTTGTCTCTGGAGGGCTTGGGAAGGCAGCAATGCATCCTCCTTGGCCCTCCTGGATCTCTCAGCAGCATTCAATATCACTGATCTTGGTATGTTTCTGGACTGTCTCTGGGAATTGAAAGGGGCTTGTTTTAGTTGACCGTAGAGACTGCCTTTAACAGGAGTGTCTTGAGCGTTGGATCAAAGAGGCCAGAGCTCACCGTCTGCTCAGGCACGGTGCCCTCATCCTCCGAAAGGGGCATGTTTGACATGTCCAGGTCTAATGAGTCCCCTTCTCCTATCTGAGAGGAAGTCTCAGAAATGTTAGTAGGGGGGGTCCTAATTCGTCCCTTATGGGGTGTGTGAAAGGCCCCTTGTCCCCTGGAAGCCATGAACTGGGAAAATGCATCCTGCATGAATGCCTGAAATTGTGCCGACCATATGTCCCCCTGTACTCTGTCACTGGACGCGGCTGCAGTGGGAGTATGGTCAGGTATAGATGCAGGTGAAGAGGGATTGGAGGAATCCAACTGTTCAGTTTCCCCAGGAGGAGACCAGGTTTTGAGAAGTTCCTGGGCAGTAGGTTCTGTCGTGGGTGCCACCAATGGGACAGGGGAAACCATGCTTGTCACATTGGAATTGGACCTCTGTGCCCTGGCAAATTGTCGTTCTAGAGCCAAATGTCTCCTCGAGGCCTCTCGCTCAGCTGTTTTAGATTGTCCCTTCTGAGTTAGATGCTTTGTTTTAGCCTTCTTCTTCCCCCCCACCTCAGGCTCAGAGGATCTGCGTTTTTGTTGTTGTTGTGGGGGGGACAATTGAGGGACCTGCATGGCTGAATACGAGACATTGTCTGCCATTGTGCCAGGTACCCCGAGTAGGCAATACCTGGAGTGGGGAAATAAGGTACGCAGATCAGTTGCAGATAATTGGGACTCAAAGTCCTCTTCTGCACAGACAAACAATGGCCGGACAGACAGGTTCCCTTGAACAGGAAGGATCCTGTAAGGCAGTGACTAAAGGTCACACTATGAACAGTTAGTTAGAATTTATTCCTCCTCACCTCCTTCACCAAGGTCGATGGATGGGTCCAGACCTGATGGAATCACAATTGTAGGTTTGGTAAGCTTTTTCCCCAATCTGTGGCTGTGAAAACAGACCACGATTAAAAATGAGGCAGTTCGTCTTTCTTTCCCTCTCTTTCCCCTTCTTTATTATAATGGATTGCAGGTAATATCAGTCAGCAATTTCTACAATTTTTGTCTCTTTGCAATCAAGGGAAAAGCTCCGGATGGTAGGCGCACCGAAAAAGATTTCGCGGTTAACCCAAACCAGTCAACAATGGCGATCGGGAGGAAGCCACGCCTCCCCAGCAACTGCTGGGAAGCCACGAGGCTCAAAATGGCGGATCTCAAACTGCCGAGCTGACTTGCTTAGCAGAGAAGCTCCTTACGCCAGCATCCCCTCCCTGGGTCCCCGCTAGGATTGTCCGTGAAGGGAGATCTGCGCCTTTAACTATCCTCCCTGTAGCGCCGGTAGGAAGAAAGGAGGGCCGATTAAGCTCTTTTAGGCTTCAGAGGCTTGCGCCTCTCCGCTGATGGGGCGAGCGGCGCCGCGGCTCTGTTGGCCGATCAGGCTGTAAAACCCCCGCCGATCAGCTGTTTAGCACTCCAGAGACCGGCGAGCGCTCGTGCATAAACGGCCCGAATCCCCTTGCTAGAAGCCCTAGCCCCTGGGGATACTCTCACCACTCCAACGATCCGTCCGGGAAGGGATCTGGTCCGAATCCCCTTGCTAGAAACCTTAGACCTTGGGGATACTCTCACCCCTCCGACGATCGTCCGGGAAGTGGCGATTTGGCATTGGCTCGGAGCCCCGAGCCAGAAACTAGGTTGATTCTCTGTTTGCCAATTTAGGAAATCCAGGGAAGGAGAGAATTTGTCTTTTTGGGTTGAATTTTTTAAGAGCTGGTTCTCGCACTGCTACTGGGCTTCGAGACTGAGTCAAAACTGGGGTCACGCCCAGAGGAAGGGTGTGGCCAAAGTTTTTACCCAGTCTGCCGGGCAGGAAGGCTGTCATAGAACCCATCCATTGGACTCTACAGCCATCCTGCTGAGAAAAGGCGTTCAGGTAAGACAACGCCCCTTTTGTGGTGCTTATCCTTCTGTGGCAGTTAAGTTAGTGTTAGTGGTGGTAGGAGATGGCAAGCCCAAGGCCCCCCATGTTGTGGAGTGCCTCCAAACTTAACTCTTTTTTTTTCATCCTTTTTAAAATCAACATGATACTGCTAGGAGAGGTTATCAGACACCATGGAGTATGGTATCACCGGTATGCTGCTGATATCCAGTTGCACATCTTCTGCTACCCCTGGCTGACTAAGTAGCATTGCCCAGAGTTGTCTCAGTTCCTGGAGATCATAAGTATTTCGGTGGAGAAGAACTGTCTTTGACTTAACCATAGCGTGACAGAATGGCTATGGGTTTTTGGTTCCCCCTTTATGTTCAAGAATCATCATCTATAGTTGCACTCTCACAGGTAGAGCTGATGTGCTGTTTGTGGGTATTGCTGGACTTGTTGCTCCTGCAACAAGGTGGAGGAGCAGCTGGCAGCTATGTTCCTCTTAGTTTCACTTTGACCCATTACTGAATTAGGACACCTTGCTCATGCCCTAGCCATTTCCTGGTTGGATTACTGTAATGCACTCTACATGGGCTGTCCTTGGAAGACCCATCCAGAATTTACAACTGATCCAGAATGCAGCGGTACATGAAGCTCTGGATATCCTATGGTTTGCCCATGTTGCACAATTTCCATTTTTTTCTGGGTGCCATTCATGGTGTTGATTACCTTTAAAGCCCTGAATGACCATGTTATTTATGGGGTTGCCTTTCTCTGAGGATATCTAACCACTCTATCAGGTATCATGAGGTGACTATATGCCAGGTCTCATCCCTTAGATGTTGCCATGTAGCAGGCCCTAGAAGTACAGCATGCTGCCTTAATTGCAGCCTTTGCCTTGGAATACCCTTTGCCCTGACATCAAGCAGAACCTCTTTGACTTCTGAAAGGACCTGAAGACCTGGCTTTTCCGACCAGTGTTGGGGAAATGTATGACTGGAAAGTTATTTTTGGATGTGACGGTTGTATTATTTTGTTGGGGCACTAGGTGTTTTACAACAGTATTATGCTTTCTATTATCATTTTAAACCCCCCTCCCAGGTTTATGATGCATAAGATGGACAGCTATATGCTTAAGGGAACGCATAGTGTCCTCATTTCTAATCCAGCATTTAGTGAGCATAACAAAGTTGGCCCTTTATCTTAATGTAATAGGATGAATTTGGGACCTAGTATACATATATACGATCCATATACGGTCTCTTTTGTGGATGCTTTTTATCAAGTGGAATCCATTCTATGACAGCCTGCACACTGATTGAAAACTTCTCTTCAGGCATAGGGGGAGGTTGTTCTTGATCCTCTCTTCTTCCGGTGGCATGCATTTTTCCACACTGGGCAAATACAATTCTT